AAAAGGAATATTGTTCTTGCTTCGTTCTTTAGAAAATCCATTCAATAGCTTATTCTTTTGTCATTGTCATAATCAACCAATCACAGAACATCTTCCTACAGCTTCGTGCCGACCCTTTCAGTGGGATGTAAACAAGTTGAAATGAACAAGTGTAACCGAAGGATAGTTGAAATATTTTAGATAATGAAAAAAAACCCAGAATTAATGGCGCGAATTAAATTTAAGCTTGCAAAGGTTAACCGTTCATCCACATTCTTTATTTATTGCAAATGATCATTACATAATGTGTGGGGCGAGTTAAATTTAACCCTGTGGCTCTGTTAATTCGGTTTGTGTATTTCGGGTCGTTTGTTTATTTCGAAACTGCTGAAAATCAAACTAAAATTGATCTGGACAAATCTTTGGAAAAATGTTTACATGTTTATCAACTGAAGAAGTTGGGAAGTTTGCTTTGACTTTTCTTTACATCATCTTACAGGATCATCAATCTTATCAGACAAAAATTCTTGTATAGTAAAACACCATTTTTGAGTTCAGACATTTTCAAAAAGTTTGGAAGAGATGAAAGAAAAAATAAAGAACGAAACCAAGGCAGAAAAACAATATATCTAGCACATATATTCATTTCAAAATCGTTGACACACTATTTTTAATTACAGGTATATTCAATAAGTTTTGACACTTCGTTGCTCCCATATTTGCGCCTTGCTTTTAGACCACCAGCCAAGAACAATAACCAAAAACAGCTCAAGGGAGAAAACATCTGTTGGTGTACGTATTCATAAGAATACATTGCCACAATGAAAAGACATTAAGTCATATAATTGTATATAAGTAAAAACGTTCTATAGAATAAAGACATATTCTGAGCATGCTTTTAGAAGAGAAGAGAAAGAGTTTAAGTAGGAGAAGATACAGAAAAGCTCCACAGATTAACAAGAGCAATTTCTTCGCTGATTCATTTGAGGACCACAGGTATAACAACGACCTATGAATGAATATATTAAAACGCCATAAAAGAATATATAGTTCACTCCCAAAGCCAGAACGTTGGACTAACCTTATATATATTTGTATCCTATTCGGTGGATATCGAAACAGAGCAAGTCTGCACGAGACTTTGCTGCCATTTAACGAAATATATACTGATATTTAACCAGGTGAAAGGAAGCAATATTCCTTATTCTATAAAATATCGGGGTTTTTGTAGCCACAACTGTCTTCTTTTGAAGGTGAAATGGGCGGAGTAAGTCTGGAGTATAGTACTAGTAGATTTTATTTAGCACATTTGGCAGAGAATTACAGTGCCAGTGGTATTACATATTAAAAAATATTAAAAATTTACAACAAAATAAATATAACATATCGTAAACAAAAGAATAAATTAATGAAGAAAATAAAAACATAAAATAGTAACATAAGCTAGTAAACAAAATAGCCTTATACTCGAATATGTAGGCAATAATTAACAATTATTCGCCGAAGGAAATACGAATTCGTAGTGAATATTTACCGTAATCACTGAGCCTGAGGCGAATAATTGTTTTAGTATAAATTTTTAATGCATATAAAACAAAATATATCAGTTTAATTAAAATTCAGAAATAAAACTGTTTCGGCCGATTCACGGCTACAGTTTTAGCGTTGCAGTGTTTCTTGCGCATACGCTTTCGAAATGGCTTAATTCTTGTGTGATTTTATTGCTTTATTACAAAGTTGTTTTTCTCGATTTCTGCTTAGAATAACGGAATGACTTTTTCACCGGACTTAGAATTAAAAAAATAGTTTCTGTTTACCATAAAGTTTTAATAACTAAAACGAAATAAAGTTTTAATAACTCTTTTCACTTTACAAGTTTCGAAAACACAATAGAGCGTTGAAAACACCATACAGCACAATGAAAACATGACATATCAAAAGAAATAGTATCGTACAAATTGAGAAATATATAGGATACAAAATAAAATGGATTTAAAACAATATCGCGGCAAAGGTTTTCCCAACAGTCGGGATAGATTTTGCCATTTGTTTAATGTGAGTGCTTCGAAGTTTTAAACAAGTTTTAATTGTCCGTGAATATGTTTGGCAGAGTAAATAATAAATTAATCCTACCTTTCAAGTTAAATACAATATTTGCTGCTTTTTTGTTATCTGGAAACGATTTTTCCGATTTTGAAACCAAATTTGCCGAATCATTCTTTTTGAAAAGCATTATTTACTACTCTGCTATAGTAGGCCAAAAAATAATGCGTCAGATTTACTAGTCAACTAGCCAATCAGAACGCGCGAAAGCTCATTTGAAATGCAACATTTATTATAATTCTTCTTATTTAGATAAATATAGTCATAAACAGAATTATATTAGCTATAATTCCGTCTATGACTGTTTAACTAAATAAGAAGAATTATTGCCTAGATATTCAAGCAAGACTATTTTGTTTACTGTGTTCGTTAAAATAGCTCAACCAAGCTGCTCTCGGTATAAATGATTGTTTATGTCTGTCTATTCTTATGTGAAATTGGGGATAAAAATGAGTTGCAAGCTGTCCTTAGTAAGTTACATTCATATCCGTTATAGTTCCACTGATAAATCTTTTACATGGGCGATTTCTTGAATTCTGTATGCTATTATATTATTTGCGAGTCAAAAAGTTCTTTTTTGATTTGAGCGACTCAAATGTATTTCTCGGTAGACCAATAAAATCTGGACATGAATTTTGTACTCTTTCGATCTCTTCCTTCAAGTAGTGTGGTAAACCAGCTCAAATTGGTGCGGCGTATTCCAGCCTTATCTTTGAGCAGTAGGTTGTAAGTCATATATTTCTAGGGAGATTTGCGTCGTGCAGGCTTTCTGGAAATAAATTATTTTACTTGCCTTCGTAATGACGTCTTGTACATGTAATTTACATTTAAAGTTATATTGCATGGTGACTCCAAGCAGTTTGAATTTTGTAGCTTTTTCGATCGTTTCCGCGCCTTTACTGTTTGGAAGGGATGGGCATAATCTCGTTAATCCTATATCCACATACGTTTTAATTTATCTTGTCTGTGTTAAACTCTTTTATGTTGTGAATGTCCCAGTCCTTTACGGAATTTACTGCTTCCTTCACATTGCTGTTTTCTCCAACAGAAACAATATTGGCTACAATCGTCAGCATATTTGCAGTTGATTGTTGAAAGTTTATTTGGAATACAATTTTCCGTGTCATTTATGTAAATGTTATAAATAACATTGGGGAGATAACCGCTCTTTGAGGGACACCTGCTGGTATTGCTTCCACTCTAGATAATTTAACTTGCTGTGTCGGATTCGTCAAGAAACTCTTACACCATAGTCAGAATGATTTATTATCACCTATATTTCCCATCCTCTTCAAGAGAATCTCATGATCGACAAGATCGAACGCTTTCCGAAGGTGTATAAACAGCGCATGTGCACCACTGTATGAACTGCCTTGATCTGTGGCATCGTACCAATCTTGAGCCATGTTGGTTAATGCCTTGACTGTGGATCTATCCTTCATAAACGCATGAAATCTGCTTGAAATCAGTAAATAAATCCATAGAATCATTTACTAGTATGGAACAGGTGACCGAACAGTAATAATTTAGCTAACGTTAAAAATGAATTGCTCGAATATTACAAGGATGCTTGATTTAATCCCGAGCCAACAGCGTAAAGCGCCTTTCCGGGGGGTAAGCCCGAGGCGAGGGTACTAATTCCGCTCTGCTATTTACACACAGGTATTTGAGAACATAGCGAAGTGCAAAGTTGTCTTCGATTATGTGATGGACGGTTCTCGACGTTTTGCCCATGGCGAGTACAAGCTCATTTTACAAAGATGTATTTTGCTATCGTACAAAATATTTTTGTGATGGTCTTCGCCTTTAACTGGAAACAAGCTTGAAGTTTCATGAATTAGTGGCTGTCAACCGTGAAACAAAGTGTGAAAGGCATGAACATGAATTTTGTCGAAGACAAACCAGATGTTTTTAATAAATTTAACTATTATGAGGCAAGCATTTGTTTTGATGAATCGCGCAATTTGATTGGCTGCTGACGAGGCAGGATTTTCCAGTATTGCCCACGGGCAATTTTATTGCCCTGTGACGAGAGCCTAGTTTCAAACGGAAAAAAGTTTGTAACAGTCTTTCAAAACTATTCAAAACGAAGAAAAATAAACCTAAAATAATAGAAAGAGCAACTGCTGTAGTTAAAGAACTTAAAGAACTTTCTCAATACCTAGCTACCTCCTGCAAATGGACATATTCGGCCAAATTCGTTACTTTACTTCGCTGACTATCACAGATACACCTTGAGATCTATTCAAAAATGTAAATCCGTTCAAACATAATGGTAGGCTATCAAGCACAAGTTAAACAATTTTAACCAGGTTTCAAGTTGGTCATTGCTGTTTAATTGTGGACATGCATATTTACTTCAACAAAGTTGAATTTCGGCGCCATTTTGTCAAATTTAACTTTTTCTAAGGGTATGAAAATAAAAAAATAAACGATGCGAAATGCAGAATTTTACCAATCTGTAAATCGTTGCTAATAAGTCTATCAAAACACTCCGTACATGTACAAATCTTGAGCGGGCAAGGAAAGTTACAGGGCCGTGGCCGGGAGGGTGAGGGGGAAGGTGAATGTTTTTCACGAAGATAGAAGAAAGCTGCGTGTGATAACGGAAAAATTAAAAAAAATTGTTGTTATTAGTTTAAAAAAGCAGCATTCAGTAAATAACAGTAAAGGTTGTGGTATTTGAACTTTCACGAATAGTTCAGTTTTAGTCTCATTCAAATAAAGTTACTTACTACAATTCAAACTTTTTCTATCTACCAATCCCAGTGATGCATAATGAGCGGTAAACCTCGGATACACATGTTAGGTAAAGCGCGAGAACATGTTTTTATTGTTTTTATAGTGTATTTGAAAGGAAAAGAATAAGTGATGATGTCAAGCAGCCACGTGCATCTCTTTGTTGTTGTCTTCATTAGTGTTTTTACCACAACAGCTGCTCAAGTGGTATGCCTAAATCCATTAGAAATCGGCGAACTTCGAGTTATGAGGAGCAAGAAGTGTGTTAACATAGATGGGTTTGATGGCTTGGGAAATATTAACACCTATAGTTGCGACGGTTTTGAAGACCAGCGAATAATCATGTGCGGAGATGGTTCGATACGAAATACGAAATCTCCTAATAACTGTTTTACACCAGGTACAGCTGGAAAGGGAAATGTTAAATTGTCTACATGCAAAGTGTACCCGAGTTTGCCTGACTACCAAAAGTGGAGATTTGGAAATTCAAAAACCTTTCTCGACACTTTTGGAATTGAACAGGAAGCAAAAGAAATCATTAACGTGTAATCTGGGTTCTGTCTCAACGTCGAGGGTTCTGATGGCACAGGTAACATTGACGCACATCGTTGTGAGGACATGACAGACCAGTACTTTTTTATTCGTTCCAAGGGTCAGCTGGTGAGTCATGGAAGGCTGCAGGTTCAGGAATCTGGTCTTTGTCTTGATGTGCAAAAGTGGAAGCTCAGGTCCACGCTTAGGAGATAATGTTCGAATATACGAATGTGAGAACAGTGCAGATCAGTATTTTGGCTTCTATGAAAATGGGGAAATAGCAAATGAAAAGTCTAAAATGTGCCTAAATGTCGCAGGTTTCGATGGAAAAGGCAATATTGATATGCACGCATGTGACTATATGGATGATCAAAATTGGCTCCGACCTCATCAGTATTGCGATGGAGACTATTGCTCTTTCGTCAACAAAAAGTCTGGACATTGCTTAAACGTTCATGGAACGGCAGCCGGGAGCAACAAAGACGTTTACTCCCACAGCTGTACCGGAGAACGAGATCAACGATTTAAATTTATTACCGGAACATGGGTTACTCCAACTACATCATGGTCTCTAGTAGGTTGCAATGAGAATGGGGAAGTCACCCAATCAATAAGCAACACAATCGGCTATTCAACCTCGGTCAGTGAAAGTACGGCAATTGAGATTGGCGCCGCAATCGAAGCTGGATACTCGTTTGGTAAAGTGACCGTCAGTACCACCTTCTCATATTCTCTATCAATGGAGTGGACGGAGAGCCAAGAAAAGTCGGAAGCTATATCTTTTACTTGTCAATTTTATGATAACGGCAAACCGTTCAAGGGAGGTTGTATGTGGCAGCTAAAACTTATAACTGAGCAAACGACCAACGCCGACGATGAATTTGAGTGGACGCCCCAAAATGTGAGATGAACAAGTAAAAATACAGCGCCAACTTGTCCTCCATTCACCAGATGCCAAGATGAAGCATGCACGATGTGCGAGGGTACGGTGTTTGGGAAGAAGAAGCGCAAACACAATGCTAAACGCTCCTTTTGGAAAAAGGTGTCGAAAACAAACAAGTCATCAAGCTAACTTGTTCACCAGTCGAAGTTATTCACGATATTTTGGTTTATGTAGTGTAGCAAAGCATGAATAAGCAGTTATATCATTTAATTAGTAAGTAAATAAGTTAAAGTGGCACTCGTGTCAAAATGTGTTTTTTTTCTGGAAAGAAAATGCTCTTAACTAAAACTGTGTAATGTAACTTGTTTTGAAGATTTTTGTTTTGATGCTTAGTTCTTGAGATATTTAATTTTGTTTGATGGACGTCATTTACTCAATTGCATATGTAATGAATATGCTTAATGATGAAGATTATATTAACAAACGCGCCGCATCTTTGGAAATAGTTTGATAAAAAATAGCAAAGATACACAAATTAAGAGTTTGTGCGAGTGCCACTTTAAGATTGTTTGATAGTTTACCGTATAAGTACTTTTGAAACGCCTAAATTTTAAAGTATCACATATTAGGGAACGTTCATTATTAACGTGTAGGAGAGAGTCAGTGTCGTTAGACGGTCGAGAAAGGTATACCAAAAATTTACATCTTCCCTTGCAGGTGAGAAGAAAAATACATACCCCGCTTAAACTACTTTGAATCTTTGTTGAAATGTAGACTTTCTGAGCTAGATTTTCTATAAACTATTTTCGCATCCTTCTATTATTTCTAACCAGTTCTCTCTGATGCATGAGTAATGAACGGTCTCTTATATAGCACATATAGTGTAGTACAGCATTTAGGGGAGCACGGGTGGCAACGTGGTTAGCACACTGCCTTTTACCACTGAGTTTAGTTAGCCTGTTACTGAATATCAAGTAAATATTTCAGCACTTCAGTTGAGCAACATCCATTTGCTTAATGCTTATCAACTTTGGTTCTCTCCCGTACTTGGGGGGTTTTTCTCCGGGTACTCCGGTTTCCCCCACCCACTAAAAACTAATTGTTGTCCAATGTAAGCATTTTAAAATAATTTTAGGCATCGAGAACTTTTGTAAGTTGGATTATAAAACCTGTTAGGGCTTTCCATCCACATCAGAGTTGTATTAAACGTGTTAAATTAGTGAAACTGTAAACAGTAATAATTGTAGAACTGCCATGCAAAAATATAGCTAGTATTAAAAAGAACACGACTTATGCATGTTCATTTTGTTGATGAAGCATTCTCGTATGTATTAAATTGTTGCCTGTTTGTACAGCCATGTGTTCGTGAATTAAAATATACTCCAACTATGGGAGTAAATAATTGTTTGGTTGAAAGCGTCTTGGGAGAAAAAAACAATGAAAAACTACAATTAATAGCCAAATAAAGCCAAAACAACAATCAATTCAATCATTGCTAGAGTACCTCTGAAGAATAGAGTACCTCTGCTGCAAATTAAGTCAGTTGTACAACAAACAGTAAATCACGCCAGATTAATTTGAACGAAAAGCTACCTTCTTTGTACATGTTAACATGTCAACAAGACATGTAAGTACTTTCTAATTTACCTAATGTGGTTTAAACTTCGAAAAGCCTTGCTGCAGACTTTGCTAACATGGATGTCTATTGACATGCGCATATCGAACGATGTTCTAAGATTATTGACAGTATTTACCGGAGAGACGTTCACGTCACACACATATAGTTTATGTATATAACTCGTCTAACTGTTTTGAATCAAAGTCGACGGTGGAACATGGCTTTCACTTCTGTTTTCTTAGCTTTGCAATAGACAACTTGCATGTTAGACAAATTTTTGATCTAGCCGATCTAGACAAAAAAAAAGTAAATTCCCGTTAAGAACTTATTAAAATTAGTAAACTTGCAAAATTTGGTTTCGAAATGTTGTAAAGCTCGGAAAATATAGCTTTGCAAAGTTTGCATATTTTCAGTATATTTGTATTACGTGCGGAAATTGTTACCATTTTCGGCTCAA